AATCAGATAGGTAATTCTGATGAAATGATATCAGAACGCCGCTAGCCACTACCGAAGCAATTATATTAAAACTGTAACCAAGGTAAATTATATCTAAGGTTTTCAAATCATGTAAAAGTATAAAAAGGCACTATCAAACAATGTATACCGCAAATTGAGAAATCCGTAATAAAATATCAGACAAAATTATTATTTCACAAAAGAACAGGAATTCAATATCTTACAAGATAATGAGCCATGAATTGGAAACATCATCGCGTCATTTCTTTTATTTTCTAAATAATATAGTCTTGGTAGTGTCTACATACTAATATAAATATCAAGTATTGAAACTTATTCGTGTGGAGGAATCAAATCATTTGCAGTAAACAGTGTTTTAATTCGATGGGATATGGGAAGGTTAATGAAAAAACGACTACTTTAATCAGCAATTTTATCTTGAAAAATGAGTTTCAACAAAATGTTTACTACGACTATCGACATTTCCTCTCTCTTGTTTCTTCTATTTCATCACAATTCATCTTTGTTGCGCATCCTCTGCTGTTGCCTCCTCTCCAGTTCTTCCAGCTTATCCTTGTACTTCTCCTTCAGCTGCAAAGAAAGGTCATTTGGATCAACAGTTTGTTTACATAAGTCGATGGTTCTTTTTCCTTTTTACCAACACGCTCCGTCTAGTAAATGGTTCTTCCTTCCACCTACTCACCTTTTGGCTTCCTTTAATAAAATTCCCTCCCAGATTTTAAAAGAGAAAAAGAAGAATGTGTTTGTATTTTCTTGTTGAGAAAGGGAGAACCGGGAGAAAATTAGGCCCACGAATGAATAGCATAAAGGACTAGGGCAGGTTAACATCCCCCAAGGGCTTCGAGGGAAAATGCTTAGCAACTGCACAAACACGCAATCTCACATATACACACACGCACAAACACACACATATACACACTTATATCTAGACAGAGAAAAAAAAAATGCGTATGGGGGGAGGGGATTCATGTTGAGAAAGTTGCAAGTAAAACAAGAAGGAAGAACAAGAAGACACAAGAATAAGCAGAAGGCCTTGTCGCTTTATTGCTTCTCCAGGGCACTTTTTCCCTATACCTTTCCCTTCGCAAACAATTACTAAGGGCAGCAGAGATATAAAACTCAAATTTCCACGAGCCCCGCGATACTTATTCTTCCAGCATCGAGAGAGAATACCGGGAAAGCGAGAAAACGACGAAATAAAAAATCGGACGAAATTGTAGAGGAAGAAGCATTCTACGGAAACCACGTGGCAATAGAGGCTGGGCCGAAAGGATATGAATGCCATCACGAACTGGCTGTGCATGAGTAGCTGGGGAAGCTGTTTCGCCTTTTTATCTGAAAGAAATTATATGTTTAATGAAAGGAGCGGCGGAGAGAATGGTCCCAGTTCCCGCCAACAGCTGGGAATGATGCTGAAGAGTCGCAGACCAACGATCCTGGAGTTATTAGCTAAGGTAAGAAATTATTGAAATTGGTAAGAGATCCAGATAGCTGCCCAGGCTCTGCTTTCCCAGAATTTGAACATTTTGTAGAGCAGAGAAATTGCCTCCCCCCCCCCCCACCCCGAAATCCAAAAAAGGAATTTCTCGCTTTTCTTTTCTTCTCTTTTTTCCAGTCTTTTCCTCTTTCTTTCAAAAATTGTATTTGCGTAACGTACTTTCACTTTTCTTTCAATTTCCTTTTCTTTAAAAAATAGCAAACGAGACAAAACAAACACACTTTTAACACAATTTATTTTCTTTTTCTCACCCAGTATACGAAAACTAGAAGCGTGGCGGATTCTCCTGCTGTTAGTAGGAGCAGCGACGGTTCTCAAGGGAGCAGCAGGCAGTAGGAGGAGGAGCTGCAGCGGACGCCAGCACTCACTCTCCCTCACTCACTCACTCACTCTCCCTCACTCACTCTCCCTCGCTCACTCTCCCTCGCTCACTCTCCCTCGCTCACTCTCCCTCGCTCACTTTCCCTCACTCTCCCTCACTCACTCTCCCTCACTCACTCTCCCTCACTCACTCTCCTCTCTCACTCTCCCTCTCTCACTCTCCCTCACTCACTCTCCCTCACTCACTCTCCCTCACTCACCCTCCCTCCCTCACTCTCACACTCCCTCCCTCATTCACTCCTCCCTCTTCATTCACTCTCCCTCACTCATTCACTCTCCCTCACTCACTCTCCTCACGCACTCTCCCTCACTCACTCACTCTCCCTCTCTCACTCTCCCTCACTCACTCTCCCTCACTCACCTCCTCACTCACTCTCCCCTCACTCACCCTCCCTCCCTCACACTCCCCTCACACTCCCTCCTCATTCACTCTCCTCACTCACACTCTCCCTCACTCATTCACTCTCACCACTCTCCCTACTCACTCTCCCTCACTCACTCTCCTCATTCACTCTCCCTCACTCACTCTCCCTCACTCACTCTCCCTCACTCACTCTCCCTCACTCACTCTCCCTCACTCACTCTCACTCTCACTCACTCACTCTCCTCTCACTCACTCTCCCTCCCTCACCCTCCCTCCCCTCCCTCTCCCTCCCTCACACTCCCTCACTCATTCACTCTCCCTCACTCACTCACCTCTCCCTCACTCCACTCTCCCTCACTCACTCTCCCTCACTCACTCTCCCCTCACTCTCTATCCCTCACTCACTCTCCCTCACTTCTCCTCAACTCTCCCTCTCACTCACTCTCACTCACTCTCCCTCACTCACTCTCCCTCACTCACTCTCCTCACTCACTCTCCCTCACTCACTCTCCTCACTCACTCTCCCTCACCCACTAACTCCTCACTCACTCTCCCTCACTCACTCTCCCTCACTCTCCTCACTCATCTCCTCACTCACTCTCCCTCACTCACCTCTCCCTCACCACTCTCCCACGTTCACTCACTCACTCTCCCTCCTCACTCTCCCTCACCACACTCTCCCTCACTCACTCTCCCCTCACACTCCTCTCCCTCCACTCACTCTCCCCACCCACTCTCCCTTCACCCACTCACCTCTCCCACTCCCTCTCACCCATCTCCCTCATCACCCACTTCTCCCTCCCTCACCCACTCTCCCTCACTCACTCTCCCTCACTCACTCTCCTCACTCACTTCACTTCTCTCCCTCACCCACTCTCCCTCATCCACTCTTCCTCACTCACTCTCCCTCACTCTCCCTCCCTCAACTCACTCCCCTCACTCACTCTCCCTCACTCACTCCCCTCACTCACTCTCCCTCACTCACTCTCACCCCACTCTCCCTCACTCACTCTCCCTCTCACTCTCACTCTCCTCACTCACCCTCCCCTCACCTCACTCGCACTCACCTCTCCTCACTCACATCTCCCTCACTCACTCTCCCTCCCTCACTCACTCTCCCTCTCCACTCTCCCTCACTCCACTCTCCCTCACTCACTCTCCCTCACTCACTCCCTCACTCACTCTCCCTCACTCACTCTCCCTCACTCACTCTCCCTCACTCTCCCTCCTCACTCTCCCTCACCAACTCTCCTCATCACTCACTCACTCTCCCTCACTCACTCACTCACTCTCCCTCACTCACTCTCCCTCACTCACTCACTCTCCCTCACTCACTCACTCTCCCTCACTCACTCTCCCTCACTCACTCCCTCACTCACTCACACTCACTCTCTCAACTCACTCTCCCTCACTCTCCTCCCTCACTCTACCCTCACCCACTCTCCCTCACTCACTCTCCCTCACTCACTCTCCCCACTCACGCCATCACTCTCCCCACCCACTCTCCCTCCACCCACCTCCCTCACCCACTCTCCCTCACTCACTTCACTCACTCCACTCTCTCACTCACCTCACCACTCTCCCTCACTCACTCTCCCTCACTCACTCACCCTCACCTCACCTCTCACCCACTCCCTCATCCACTCTTCCTCACTCACTCTCCCTCACTCACTCTCCCTCACTCACTCTCCCTCACTCACTCTCCCTCACTCACTCTCCCTCACTCACTCTCCCTCACTCACTCCCTCACTCTCACTCTCCCTCACGTCCCTCACTCTCTCACTCACTCTTCCCTTCACTCCACTCACTCTCCTCACTCACTCTCCCTCACCCACTCTCCCTCACTCACTCATCCCTCCCTCACTCACTCTCCCTCACTCACTCCTCCTCTCTTCACTCACTCTCCCTCACTCACTCTCCCTCACTCACTCTCCCTCACTCACGTCTCACCTCAGCCCTCACTCACCCTCCCTCCTCACCGCTCCCTCTCACTCACCCTCCCTCACTCACCACTCTCCTCACTCCACACTCCCTCACCCACTCTCCCACTCCACTCTCCCTCACTCACTCTCCTCACTCAACCTCCCTCACTCACTCACTCTCCTCACCACTCTCGCTCACTCTCCTCACTCACTCTCCCTCACTCACTCTCCCTCATCCACTCTCCCTCACCCACTCTCCCTCACTCACTCTCCTCTCCCTCACTCATCACTTCTCACCTCACTCTCCTCTCCCTCACCCACTCTCCCTCACGCCACTCTCCCTCACTCTTCACTCTTCCCTCACTCTCACTCATCCCTCACTCACTCTCCCTCACTCATTCTCCTCCCCCTCCCTCATCCACTCTCCCTCACTCACTCTCTCACTCACTCTCCCTCACTCATTTCTCCTCACCCCACTCTCCCTCATCCTCTCCCACTCACTCTCCCTCACTCCACTCTCCCTCACTCACTCTCCCTCACCCACTCTCCCCTCACTCACTCTCCCTCCCTCACTCACTCTCCCTCACTCTCTTTCACTCACTCTCCTCACTCATTCTCCCTCACTCATCTCCCTCACTCACCGCCTCACCGTCCCCACACTCACCCTCCCTCACTCACCCTCCCTCACTCACTCTCCTCACGTCACTCTCCCTCACTCACTCTCCCTCACCACTCTCCCTCGCCACTCTCCCTCACTCACTCTCCCTCACTCCACTCTCCCTCACCCACTCTCCCTCACGTTCTCCCTCACCAT